GCCGCCTTGTGGCGCCTAGTGGATCGACGTGTCCCTCGCCGGGCACTTGGAGAGTGTCGCGTTGGTTAGCGCCGAGCTCGCGTCGGCCGAGACAACGAGCTCTCGCCTGCTATGTCGTTGCACGCCGAGCAACGTCACGAATCTCGTGGTAGGCCCGGTGATCCTTGGGTGTCATGGCCTCCGCAGTGGCGATGTTCTGGCTTGCCCGGGCGAAGCAAGGGAGGGCTTCATCGTCCCACGATGATCCTTCGGTTCACGCCACGGGCCATGGCACGCGGCGCTGGCGTCCCGCCTCCGTGGGTGCTCGATCTCCCGATCGATCTCCACGTACTCTCCTTCGAGCTGGAGTCACGCTTCCTCAATCTCTCGGTGTCGGGCTTTCAGCTATTCCACCCGCATGCTAGGTGGGGCCGCTGTCTCCCCCTGGGCCTCGTCGTCTAGGTCATTCGCCGAGGTAGCCTCCTCCCCGTGGATGCTTTCGACGTGTCCCTCGGGGGTACCTATCATGAAGCATTTACGAGAGGGGTGATGGCTTCCCCTGCTTGGGTCGGAGCCAGAGGGTGACTCTAGCTCCTCTGCAAGGAGGTCATGGAAGGAATCCGTGACGTGTTCAATCACCCCCACGAATTCGTCGTTCGTGGGAGGCGGAATCATGCGTTGCGCCATAAGGTGGCTAACGGTCTCCATGGCGTTGCGGAGACCGAACGGGAGGACTATTGGGGCGCTCCAGACGAGGTATTCTGGGGAGAACGGTTCTCCCACGGTAACCCGTAGCTCCTCGAGCATCTCGGTGATCACATCGAGGCCGGTGGAGTGAAGGGTTTGAACGACAACAGCGCCCCACGCCAGCTCCCCTCCATCGTGGCTAGCCATCTATGGCTTGATGTTAATATCGGACGCCACATAAACTCACCTACACCGGCGCACCAACCGCCGGTGTTTCAATTAAACACCAATGAGTAAATTTGTGTTATTATGTGTCCGGCCCGGATGGTGTGCTAAAAGACACAAGGTTTATATTGATTCAAGCGTAATGTCCCTACATCCAGCCTCATGGTCACTGCTCATATTATTTGCAATGAAATGTTCGTAGTAGGGGTTACAAACGGGCAAGAGAGGGACAGGTCCCAAATCTTTGATGAAAAGGTCGAATGGGGGTTGAGGGCTCGGTTGCTGCTCAGTTCATGGTTCTATTGTGATGTAGTGTGATGTGCGATGCGGTCAATCGATCCCCTTAGTGGGGTGCCCTGCTTTCCCTTTTATAGGCCAAGGGAGAGCATGGATTACAGATGTGAGAGAGAAAAAAAGGTAAAGCGAGAGGCAAAGGAAGTCTTTCAAGGACGATGGGTCTTCATTTTCCTCTGTGTGGGCCCCACTGACATTGCAGGCCGTGGTAGGGATAGCCTCATGCCAGGTGCATGGTCGCTGGTCCTAACAGGGCTACGCTGGGCGTCTGTCCGCTGACAATGTCATGTCCTAGCATTGTCAATGGGTTGTCACATCCCATCCCGCCCCGGCGGGCGGCGCGGCGGACCAGGGTGTTGATCAGCGGCCACACGGGGAGCAGGCAGCACAGAGACTGCACGTCCATCACTGTGGGTAATGCGTGCTTCCTTCTGGACCGTAGCGGTTGTCGTTAGCTTCCGTGCCCAAGGGCAAATGACGGCGCCCACAACACTGTAGGGCAAATATTGGCGCCTACAACACTATTTGGGCTCTAACATGCCTGGAAGGTCGCAAAGCACCCTTCTGGCATGGCCTGATGGGACTGTCTTATAGGGATGCAGGGTACGGTCCTCGGTATTGGGTTTATCTGCTCCGTGCGTTGTTGTAAAGGAGTCGTGCGCAGACGTCGGGCGAGGCGGAGCCAGCCCTCAGATGTCCGGCGAGGCGGAAACAGCCCTCAGACGTCGAGCGAGGCGGCGCCAGCCCTCAGACGTCGGGCGAGGCGGAGCTAGTCCTCAGACGTCGGGCGAGGCGGAGCCAGCCCTTAGATGTCGGGCGAGGCGAAAACAACCCTCAGACGTCGGGCGAGGCGGAGCCAGCACTCGGGGGTCGGACGGGGCGGAGCCAACCCTCGAGAGCCAACCGAGGTCGAACCGACCCTCGGGGCGGCGACGCGAGCCCATGGCCTTGGTGGTCGGATGAGGCAAAGGCTCAAAGAAGAGGTGCGCAATCGTGCTCATGATGCTTGGATGAATCAATGTTGACGGGTATTAACTCCTCCTCTTCGCAGGCATACCTTAGTATTGGTCCCCACAATGTTGCAAAAGTAGATCGTGATGTTGCACATGTTGTGTTGTCTATACACGTATCTCTCAAGTGTATGTCCTAAATGTTTCATCTGTTCTAGATGAATGTTGCAAGTCTTTTATATGGATGTTGTAAAAGTAGATCTGGATATTACATATACATGCACGCTGCAAGCATATGTTTCATGTGTTTTCGTGTGTTTCATACATATGTTTGCAATTGTTTCATCCAGACGTTGCATATTTTTTGCAATGCTTTTTCAAATGTTTTTCGTGCATTTTCGTAAGTTTTTCGTGAGTGTTTTATCTGTCTTTTTGTATGTTTGCAACTGTTGCATCCGAATGTTTCAAAAGTAGATCGGTGTTGCACATGGGATGTGCGTGGAAAGCGGTCAAGCGGCATGGACGGGCGGCGGCGTGGCGACGTCCGAAGCAGCGTAGTGCATGCAGCATCCGGACACCAGTGTCCAGATCGGATGTCCGGGCGCTAGTGAGTCTATTTTTTTTTAGTTCCAGCGAAAGAGCCGGCTAGCATTAATAAGGAGGGTTAGAGTTGCACAAGAGATGCTCACGTCGCCAGGCAGGCGAAAGAATAGAAGAAAAAAAACTGACTAATCACTAACTGATATAGCAACGAAAGGGGACAGAGGCTTGGTTGGCCACGGACTTCTGCAAAAACCGAGCTGACATCTTTTATTCAGGACTGAAAATCTGTTGTTTCGTTGTTTCCTATGGTCCACATTACCAGCAGAGCAGGGAGTGGTCTCAATTGCATTTTCGGCTAGTCAGGGCTTATCAGCTATGGTATAGTATTTTTCTCTCACAACAAACTAGCCTTAGCTGGGCTTATCAGTCCAGAATCTAACCAGCGAACAGGCTTGGCACTAGGAACCATCTTTGAGTGTCGATGTTTCCAGTTTGCAGGATTCAGACTGTGGCATTTGCTCACTTTCTTCCAAACTTCATACTGAATGGCCATTCGACAAAAAGGTGTAGCACTATCTCCAGATTCCTTCTACATAGGGTGCAGAAGTAGTCATTCCTGTTCCCTTAGAATCAACCTATCATTTGTCCATAGCCAGTTTTGCATAATGGGCCAGGCTTTGTTTAGACTGGGGTTATGAATTAGTATTTGGCACTGTAGTATTTTCGTTTGTATTTGATAATTATTGTCTAATCATGGCCTAACTAGGCTCAAAAGATTCGTCTCGTAATTTACAATCAAACTGTGTAATTAGTTATTTTTTTATCTACATTTAATACTCCATGCATGTGTCCAAAGATTTGATGTGATGGAGAGAGAGTGAAAAAACTTGCAATCTAAACAAAGCCCCAGGCAAAGAATTTGACCCAGGGTGGCGCTTTTGCTTTCTAGATCAGCTTTGGGAAGGATGGCTAGTGTTGTCTACTGAATTGGACTTTGTAGGCCGAGCGTGAGGAGTATTCGCCTGTGGATTTCAGTCCAGGTAATCTCATTACAAGGAATATAGACCCATTAGGTCATTTAGTTTGGATTTTGATGTTTCATGATCAACATGATCATTTGGACTAATATTATTTGCTAGTGTTCTTGGATATAGTTCAAATGATGCAAAGTGGACTTGGACTTAAGCAAAGTGGTGATCCGGATGATCTAACATCTCAAGCAAGGTTGCCTTAGAGGGTGTGTTGCTATCTCTAGATAGTTTTTACTTCTTGCATAGGTTTTGACTGGTTGCCTTAGAGGCCATAGAAACAGTTATTAAATTGCCTAATTCAAACAACCCCCCCCCCCTCGTCATCTGATACAACCTCTGTGTTGAAATAAGAGCTATTTACGAAGTTCCATAGCAGAAAGTACTCTTGAAGGAGTTCTTCTGTTAAAGAGTGAGCTATGTCAAGAATCCATCTGCTTCTCATGATACGTTCCCTACTCTTCTTTTCTTCCTTCTGCTGTGCTTGTAGAGTAAAGGGAACAGACCCAACAGAGCTTGTCCATTTAACCAACTTGATTTCCAGAAAAGGACTTTTCACCTATTATGAATGGTTACCCGTGTTGTGGCCCCAAACAAAGCTCTGTCAGCCTTGATCACTGCAACTTCCAATACCAATACATGATCTTAAGGTTCAGTTTAAGCAACCCATAGGCCATAGCCATCTAAGTTGAAGGGCAATGCTGAACTTTTGAATCTCCATAAATGCTCAGACAACCAAATTCAACCGATTCCGTAGAAATCGGCCAGTTTACCTTACATTCTCCCTCCCTCCCCCCTTATCCGCTCAATCTCTTTGTCCGCAGTTGAAAGGTCTAAGCCCTTGTTTGGGTTTGGGTAATTAATGACAACGTTTATGGACTAACCTTTATATTTGAGTGTGCGAAGGTAAATTGGTTAGTTTCCTCAAAAAAAGGTAAATTGGTTCAGTTTACAAGAATTGGACGAGGATAGCTACCACTACATAGAGGTCATGTCGATGAATATAGTACTTGCGAATGGAGAAGAACAATTACAATCAAACAAATAACATCATGTTTGTCAAACACAAATGTGACAGATAAAGCTACCCACGCTACTTGCATGGGCCATCTTGCTAGTTTAGTTTTACCGAATTACCAATTGTGCCCTTAATTTTAGGAAATCACCACAGATAAATCAGGTATAGAATAGAAAGGGGGAAAAAAAGAGAAACCAGTTATTCAGATGTTGATAAGAGGAGAACACACACTCAGAATGTTCGGCGATCCCGTATATATGTTTATGAAAAACATCATTACGAACCATGCAGCTGTGACAAGAAGTTGGCCTCAAAGTCTTCCATGCGGCCCCGATCAAGGGCCACGGACACCTGTACAGCACCTTCCGGCGCCCCGACCAGCGCCACGAACTCCCGGACAAACGCCGACGCGAGCTCCACCCGGCTCGGCTTGCCCCAGCCGAAGTCTGTTTCGTACGCGGCGAACCGGTGGGACGACCCTATCTGCACGAACCTGTCCCGTGGGAGGGCCTTGTGGCGCTCCAACCACCGATCACCGTCACCCAGTGGGGTCCTCCAGCTGCTCCTGGATCGCCTCCCGCACCGCCGACGCGGCCCGCGCGAGCGCGCCCACGCCGCCGTCCCTGAGCTCTCCCACCGTGGCCCTCGCATAGCACGGCTTGACGCAGTTGCCGAAGAAGGCGGCGGGCATGGGCGGGCGCAGGCGCGCGCGGCAGTCCGCGGCGAACGACAGGTAGGCGTCGTCCTCGGCGCGGCTCAGGGCGTTCTTGGCGCGGATGCCGGATGTCCAGACCAGGGACGCCACGGCGGCGTAGGTGGTCGGGGGCTTCGCTACGGCGGCCGGTGCGTTGTCGCCGTCGGCGCGTTTGCTCTGCAGTGAAATGCGTTGCTTCAGCGACAGGATCTGGCTGGCGCTGAGCAGGTAGGTCCTTCTCCCTTGTTGTGTCAGGTCCGGTCCGGGGAGTGCGTTCACCTGTTCAAATAATGATGTAATTGCAACACGAATTCCATTCAAGTTTTCAAACTACTAAGTACAAAATATTCTATAAAAAATGACAGTTAAATACGCTGAATTGACTGCTGACACAACGAAGCAACTCACCGTCGGCAACGCTGGCGCAAAGATTCGCACGAACTTGCGCGCCACCGCCTCTGCCTTGGGGTGGCTGTTGATCACCGCGCGGTCGAAAACCGGCGGCAGGGTCCCCAGCAAGGCCGGCGAGCCGCCCAGAGCTGCGGCAGCCCACGCCCGGATGAACTCCCACTGCGCCCGGCCGTCGGCCATTCCATGGTTCATGGACACGCCGACCACCACGGCTCCGATCCCGCCTCTGTCATCCGTGTCCGCGGGCATCGTCACTTGCACGGCCAGTGCAGGGACCGGCAGCGCGCTGACCACGAGAGCAGGCACGAGCTGCGCGTACGCCTCGACGTCATGCTCGGCGTCGCTTGCAAGCCGGCGCATGTCGTCTGTGCTGCCGGCGTACTCGGCTTCGACGAACCTGACACCCTGGGAAACGACTTCGGGGGAGCAGTCGATGACGACGTCCCCCGACTTGGAGACCGCGACGTGGCCGGCGAGCGGGGTGAAAACGGCGAGCGTGGCGGCGAGGGAGGACTGCAGCGTGGCGAGCAGGGCAGGGAAGGGCGGCAGGTCGTCACCCTCATAGAAGAAGAGGCGCTGCATCGGTTGGAGGGGGATCAACATGGTGTCGAAGAGCGAGAGCTTGATGGTGTGGTCGCCGTTGTCCGGTAGAGGATTGGAGGTTTCAGCGGGTGGTCGGACATGGGTGATGCTGAGAACTCGGACGCGGGGGACCATGCTGGTGCCGCGAGGAGCACTGTGTGAGCGTGCTTCTCGTATTCTGGTTGGAGCTTTGAGTAGAGGGTAGAACTGGTTTTGAGTTTCCAACTCATCCTGGTTTTAAATAGCCCGCTAAAAATGTTACCACATCATAAAAAAAAAAGATAAATCTAACCGTTATTGGCGTCGTCTCACTCGATTTATCAGCCGTCCGATATCCCTGCTATTGGTCTCGATTTCCATCCTACTCCCTTCCATCCAAAAAAAACAACTACGTGTTATATGCTACCAAAGTACTTCGTGTTTGACCAAATTTTTAGTGAATACTATTTATATTTACGGCTACACAATAATTTATTATAAAAACATATTTCATAATTAATTTAATTATATTTATTTAATATTATAAATATTGATACTTTTTAACTATAATTGATCGAATTTAAATTTAAGATACTGAATCATGATGCTACGCTAAAATTGTATTTTTCGTGGACAGGGGGAAGGGAGTACTAGGCTGCAGGCCGTAGCTGGCTACTGCGCACGAGGTATGAGGCACTTTAGTCCCGGATGCTTACTCCCGGGTGGGGAATCGAGACTAGGGGGTTCTCCACTGGGAGTAAAGCCCGTCCCTCCACTAGTGAAACACAGGTTCCGACCTGTTTGCGAAAAAAAAGTAGTAGTAACAAATAGCAATCTCACCGTCTTTACTGGCATGCTTACTTTGGATGGAACCAACCATGTGCCACCACTGAGACACTGAAGTAAAATTATGCCCTGCCCTATGCTTGGAGAACTCCACTAGTTCATGTTGGAATATCATCCCAGATCCTTTTTGGGTAAACTTGATCCTCGTTTTCTGCCGTGGCAGAGAGAAAGATCGGGAACAACGATTGAGATTTCAGAGGAGTTCACTGTGCGTCTGCGCCAACTGATTCATAGTGAAGAAATGCTTGTCCAGTGTCCACGTTTTCCATGGCCATTGAGATAACTAAGCAACTCAACGTCGGCAACGCTGGCGCGAAGATTCGGCAAGGCCGGCGTCGAGCAGCCCCGCGTCTCCGATCATGGACACGGCGACCGCCACGGCTCCTATCCGGCCTCCGTCTGTGTTCGCGAGCCTCGTTACTTGCACGGCCAGTGCGGGGACTGGCAGCGGGCTCACCACGAGGGCGGGCGCGAGCTGTGCGTACGCCTCGACGTCGTGCTCGGCGTCGCTCTGGCAAGGCGGCGCATGTCATCAGTCATCGGTGCTGCCGGCATACTCGGCTTCGACGAACCTGGCGCCCTGGGAGACGGCGCCGGGGGAGCAGTCGATGACGACTCCCACAACTTGGAGACCGCGAGGTGGACGGTGAGCGAGGTGAAGGCGGCGAGCGGGGCGGCCAGGGAGGACTACAGCGTGCCGAGCAGAGGGCAGGGAAGGGCGGCAGGTCGTCGCCCTCGTAGAAGAAGAGGCGCTGCATCGGCTGCTAGGGGAGGAACATGGTGTCGAAGAGCGAGAGATTGATGGCGTGGTCGTCGTTGTCCGGCAGAGGATTGGAGGTTTCAGGGGGTCGGACATGGGTGACGCCGATGACGTTGAGAACTCGGACGCGGGACTGCGGGAGTAAAGATGCCAACGGGGATGTACCCGTCGGTATCGCCGGAACGTTCTCTTTCTGTTACGGAGAATTCATCCCGTCCCCGTCCTCATCCCCGTTAACTGTCTCGAGTATAGATTCTTGTCCATCTCCGTACCCGTCGGGCATTGGTCGGGTAACAAATACCCGACAGGTAGTGCATACCTGATAAATAAGGACACTTGGGGTCACAGCTTTATAATCGGAGACGTTTCTTCTTCACCTGGGTATAAGTGTCGGAGTCTCGGAAATGCCGAGGAGAAAGAGCGAGGTTGCGAGGAGGACAAGCAAAGGTGGCAGAAAGACCGAACTGAGGAAGCGAGGGACACGAGCGTTTGTGAGACAGGCGTGCTTGTGCTGCTGGCGGAGATGGTGAGGAAAAATTGAACTAGAATTTCTAGAACACACAAACTATATATATGATTGTTCAGATTTTGGTCAAAATACCTATGTTCAGCTTCTTTGGACCTAATACTCGCATGACAGCTCAAATAGTCGGGTTCCCCAACGGGTAACGGGAACGGGTAAACAGGGAACGTACCCGCTATACCCGTCAGGGATGGATTCTCGTCCATTTAGATGTCCACGGGTAAAAATACGATTCCATCTCTGTGCTCTAATGGATCAAATACCCGTCGGGTATCGGGTATCGGGCCTGTTGCCATCTTTATGCGGGAGCACATGCTGGTCGTGCCGCGAGAAGCCTAGAAGCAGTCCGTCCGTGTGCTTGTGGTTTTGAGTACTAGAGGACTAGAGATGGCAGGTGGATGAACATGCTGTTGGAGACCTCGAGGAGGGTTGAACTGTTTTTTTTGTTTAAAGTTCCAGCAAAAGAGCCGGCCAGTATTAATATGGAGAGCTTTTTTTTTACCAAATTCGGCAGGTGTTCTGCCAATTCAGTGTGTTGCAACGGGAAGAAATAAATCCTTGTACATTAGAGTTGTATTTAAAATAAGTAAAATCATGTATGTGCTTTTTTTAAACTAAATCATGTATTTGTGTTAATTGTACAGTCTGTTCACTGAATTTATAATTAACAACATCGCTAATACTGGGCCTGCTGAGCAGCCCGCTAGCATGCTCCCACCTTCAGTTTGTTCGCACCGTTCTTAATTAGCGGCGTGGCTCCTTCTCATCCACATGACAGACACACAGAGGCGCTCCACTTTCTGCCTAGCCACGCGACGCATGCACTCGGTCCGGCAGCTCCCTGACACAGCGCCGTTGGCGCCGGCGCTGGCGCGGGCTGCTCTAGCTCGACAAGCGCATCGAGCTCGTGGCACGTGTGCCTTGGCAGCCACCAAACGCTGCATCTTGCGCGCCTTCCAGTCCATCTTGGACGGTGTAGCGTAGCCTGTGCTTGACGAGCACGGCAAAGACGGCATCAAAGCGGTGGAGCAACGGGCCGGCGCCGTGGCCGAACAGGCATGCGACAGCGCGGGAGCAAGTAGAGCTCGACAAAATCAGCTCGCAGCCCTGCGTCGCGTCGTGCACCGGCCGACCAAGACCCGGCCGAGGCCGCGCCCCATCCCCCACCGCAATTCCTCACCAGGTAGGCCATGGCCGCCGGCGACGTCGTGTTTCAAGTGTTTCAGACTTATGTTTCAAGCATTTTATCTAAATATTGCAAAAGTCGGTCTGGGATGTTGCATATTGTCGGGTTCATAAACCCGGGGTCCCTCGGGGACCGGCTCCAACGCCAGGGGTCGGCCCGGGAAAACAACATGTAGACCATGGGCCGGCCCGAATAGTCTATAAACACGACGGGCCAGAAGAAACAGCATGATCTCCGACCGGGAGGTCAACCTAAAGGAGCAAGCGCCCGCTCGCCAACCTCTTTGGCCCACCTCTCCGACCAGAGCATCCACAGCCTCCAGCGGTCTCTCCGATCGGAAGGCCTGGCCTAAAACGCTACTTCCTACTCCGACCCCGCGACTCCGACCGGGGACCTGTAGGAAGCCTGCGTACCGCTCTTCTCCGACTGGCGCGGCCAGGGCCGACTGGAGCCATCCGACCGGGGACGCCCGCTCGGAAGGGACCAGGGGCGAACGGAAAAAGAGCGGCGCACTAAGTCAAACCACGATACCGGGGCCATACCCTGCACGCCTGCGGGAACAGTACTCCACGACCGCCCTGACACAAGCAGTATTGTAGGCGCCGACATTTATGTCTACAGTATTGTGGGCACCGTGGGGCTCCCATACGGCAAAAGGCCCTCCGTGCCTCTGGGCATCGATAGGGGGCGCCAGGATCCACCATACCTGGTACACGTGGTGGGGCTCCTCACATGTTTTTGCAGGTACCGATGTCCACCCTTCCTGAAGAAGCCACCGCGACCTCCCACATGCACCTGACATTCTACAGTGACATCAACAGTGTTGTAGGCGCCTACCATTATCCACTCCTCGTCAGCATGGGCAATGAAGACTTCGTAACATCCGTACTCTCACCCTCTCACCTGTAAAGCCATCCCCTTCTTCTATAAAAGGGGATGCGCTCCCTCCAACAAGAGGACGATCTCCTCCGAGTTCAGATTCACTAGACCGATAGTTCACAACCCTTCTAGCACACGCTTGAACATCCATCTCATAGCGGAGTTCCGGTCGCCCTCGGCCCTTCCGGTCGGACCCGACCGGGCCTCTTGTACACCCCTCTTTTCTCCCTCTCGTTTGTAACCCCACTATAGACTTCGAGCACCTGGGCTCAGGAATAAAGTCACCGACCGACCCACACTGGACGTAGGGCACGTTGCCCGAACCAGTATATATCCTGTGTCATTGAGTGTTAGGCCACCTCCGATCACAACGTACAGCAAAACTATAAATATTCACTAGTTGGTCACTTACTGTACCGACAGTTGGCGCCGTCCGTGGGGAGGACGTTGTACGTTCAACACTTTTTGGTCATCGGATGGCCCATTTCTCCACCACCCCCGCCACGGTGGGCTCGGGCGATACGATTTGCCTCGGCTCGCTGGAGTATCCCGCGCTCTCGCCCGCCGGGATGCGGGTTCCACTCGTTTTCGAGCCATCCTAGGCCTTCCTCTTCGGAAGCCTGGACTTCGTCGCCGACCGGCTCGACGTACTCCACCTCCGCGAGGAGACTCGCGACCCGGCGCCCGTCGAAGAGGCGTTCTCCATCGACTCCGGGACGCGCGACCTCAACGGCGCGGCATCTGCGCGTCATTCCAAGCAAACTCTCTGCTCAAACCTCTTAGTAAGTAATATACATGCCGTTCTTTACTTACTACACTCTATCTTCCGCCGAAAGTCCGAAGGGCCGCCGTTATCCCCGTCACGGCCACCGTACGGCCAGCTCCCCTACGGCCTCGTGTCTCCCATGGACACGTACACCTGGGGGCTCCAAAGATTATGACACCGCCGCCTCTCATGTTTG